CTTGTAAGACTGATACGCACATTTGAACATTTCACATCTGCCGTGATTAGACCATTCCCATTTTCACCACTCTTACTGTATCTTTCTTTGGGCTGGGGACACCAGGCTATGATTGTGCGTAACGCCAAGGACACAGCCCACACCAAGGCGGAGAGAAACATCCTGGAGGAGGTGAAGCATCCCTTCATTGTCGATCTTATCTACGCCTTCCAGACAGGAGGGAAGCTGTACCTCATCCTGGAGTACCTGAGTGGTCAGTATGAGCAACACGCATCCTGTGCTAACGTTCATGCTGAATTACAGAATTGAGACTTTAATGTTGTTGATTTGTGCAGGAGGAGAACTCTTCATGCAGCTGGAGAGGGAGGGCATCTTCATGGAAGACACAGCCTGGTGAACTTTGTTTATTTTTGTATTGATACATAACACATTTATGTCTGTGAAACTCAACTCTAGGGTCTTTTAAACATTTGCTCCCTGCTTTGAAAAAAAAAAAATGAACCTGACCACAATCCTAATTTTTAATAACAGCAGCTAAATCTCCCTGTAGTTTTTACCTGGCAGAGATCTCCATGGCTCTCGGCCACCTGCACCAGAAGGGCATCATCTACAGAGACCTAAAGCCTGAGAACATCATGCTCAACAACCAAGGTGTGTGTGAGAGTGTGTGCATGTGAAGACATTTATTAAAACCTCACTGGCATGATTTAACTATAGTGCAGTGCCCGTTCTAAACCTATCTATCTGGTAATGGGCTGTTTGTTTGGCATGCAGTGATTCTGCTTTCAACTTTCTTTCTGAAACTGTAAAAGAGCTGTTCACACGTTTATTCAAAGTTTGTTAGAGCTCGACTCTGAACCCTGAACTGGAGGATTGTTTGTAGTCGCTGTTGTCGTGATCAAAAACGTCACTTAAATTGATGAGTCCCAGCCACCGCCACAGAACGCTGGTCAGCTGTTTATTCAAAGTTTATTAATATCGAACATATCGCGTGTCCAAGGTGATGAGATGAGCGGTTCCCCAAATATGTTTTCAACATACAGACAGAGATTTCTGGAATTATTAGATAGATAGATGGCGTCTTCATTTGTTACCTTGTTTAAGTTTATGCTTTTTAACCCTTCACATCTGGCCTCACTGTGCGGATGTATGTATCCACTGACACTATAATCAGCTGTGTCTGATCATGTTTCTTCCAGGCCACGTGAAGCTGACAGACTTCGGGCTGTGTAAAGAGTCCATTCATGACGGCACAGTCACCCACACTTTCTGTGGAACCATCGAATACATGTGAGTGGTGCTCTTTCAGCTCTCATACACTTACATACTGTCTGGTTCACTTGTTCTCATCTCCATGTTCATTGATGATCTCCACTGTTTAATGCATTAGTGAGAATTATGGACTCACATTGTTACAGGGCTCCAGAGATCTTGATGAGAAGCGGACACAACAGAGCAGTGGACTGGTGGAGTCTGGGCGCTCTGATGTACGACATGCTCACAGGAGCGGTCAGTTCAGCAGTTACAACATAATAACTACGTCACTCTCGTTTTTGCACCGTGCTATGGAATATGCGAGTAAACCTGTTGTCTCTCTTCCTTGTAGCCGCCGTTCACAGGTGAGAACAGGAAAAAGACCATCGACAAGATCCTTAAGTGCAAGCTCAGCCTCCCGCCCTACCTCACACAAGAAGCTCGAGATCTGCTGAAACGGGTACCTGCTGTTTGTTTCGCAGCTCATGATACTCCTGTTGATTAACAGAATTAAATGTGGAGTTGTCTTGGTGGCGTTCTGTTGACATGTTGCTGCTGGTTGTACAGTTGTTGAAGAGAAACGCCTCATCGCGGCTGGGAGCTGGAGCAGGAGACGCCACGGAGGTGCAGGTGAGAGCATGCGGCTCCTGTCGCTAAGCATTCAAACATACCAGGCTGCAAAGTTAACCAGGGACGAATGAAACAAATGAGTCAAAATGACAAAAATAAATGAATTTGCCTTTTCACAGACTGAAACTTTATGACACTGTTTGTAGGCTCATCCCTTCTTTCGACACATCAACTGGGAGGATTTGCTGGCTCGGAAAGTGGAGCCTCCTTTCAAACCTTTCCTGGTAAGTATCAGACCACAAAGATTCCTGAAAGAGAGGAAAGGCCCAAATTGTTATTCTAGGTCATTGCCAAGAGTCTGGTAACACTAAACATCTCTTACTGAGAACTTGCACTAACATGGGACCTAGGTTGGAAAAAAGAATAATTCCCCTTTAAGAATGTTGTCCCAGTGAGTCTTTTCTGTGAGAACAGGATAGCTTGGTTACCCCCCCCCCCCCAGATAAACCAACTCACCAAGTTTCAGTAATTGAACCCAGGTGTTCTCTGGTTTCAGACCGTCTCCTGTTTGTCTTGATAGCCGGCACATCTGCTCACATTACTTAACCTCCTCACCTGCGTTTGTCTCATCTCCCTGCAGCAATCGGCCGAAGATGTGAGTCAGTTTGACTCGAAGTTCACCAGTCAGACGCCTGTCGACAGCCCTGATGACTCAACCCTCAGTGAGAGTGCCAATCAAGCCTTCCTGGTAACTCCTTTTGTTTTCTTTGTTCACTTTGTTTTTTCTGGTCTTAATTTCAGAAAGCCACGTCTCTTCATCACAAAACACGATCAAAATCAATATAAGCTTGTACTGAAATGTTCCTGTACTAAAATCTCCCCATAAAATGTGACTTAGCACCAGCTGTACCTGTGTTTAACCTCTGGTCACCTTTAGGGTTTCACGTATGTCGCTCCATCGGTCCTGGATAACATTAAAGAAAGGTTCTCATTTGAGCCAAAAATCCGCTCACCTCGACGGATCATGGGCAGCCCAAGAACACCTCTCAGGTATGTCAACCCCCCGGCCGCAGCCGGTGCTTCAGAAATAAACATGTCTGTGTTGAGAAATCACATTCTGGCTGTTGACCATGATAGTTCTCAGTGGGTCTTGGTTCAGGTCCTGAGATCTGGCTTCACTTGAGCCGCTTTTCATGAACTCTGGAAAATTGTGTCTATGCAGTTCGCCTTCCACATATGTAGAAAGCAGCATTTTCATTCTTTTTTGGTAGAAACATCATCAACACACTCGCTCGCTTTGAATTCTTTGTACATTTTCCTGCTCTATTCTTACATTGGCTCACTCGGATATTTTCCAAACATTTTAATAGGGTACACGAAACATTGCGGAAAATGTCAACAGCAACTGACTCAGACACTCACAAATTTCAGAAGTTCTCTGCATGTCTGATATGTTTCAAAAGATGTATTTAGCTTAGTATTTTATGAGAAGTATGATATTTTAAGTTTCTTCCACAATTAAAATAGCTGGGTTGTGTTCCTCTGATTGTACTCTGCCTTTTTATATTATTGTAAAAGTTGTCATGACCATAATCTCAATGACCTCTGGGTTTCTTCATCACGTATTTATTTACAGCAGACTTATATACATTTCTGGTCACGAAGGCTGAATCTGACCAAGAAAAAGCCAAAAAAAGCATCAAAACAAATCCTACATGTTTCTAAAACCTTGTAATGCACGTCCCCGTTTCCTTTCAGTCCAGTCAAATATGCAGGGGGGGACTGCTGGCCCCGGAGCCCGCTCCTCACTGGCGGAGGACCAAGCATCCTCCAGTCTCCTCAGGACCAGGCCATGGAACTGTCCACCCCAGAGCAGATGGATGTCACAACCAGCTCCGAGGCCTCGGCTCCTCTCCCCATCCGTAAACCTGCAGGGGTCAACCTGGGTCAGATGAAGCAGCAAGCGTACCCTGTCGCGGCCAAGCGGCCCGAACATCTACGTATGAACCTATGACCCACCACGCCCCTTTAGGAGAGTTTATTTCCTGACTCTTTTTTTTTTTTTTTTCTTTATTGATATTTTTTAAGAAACAAAGCAAAAAGAGATGGATGGTAGAGACAATGAAAATCAAAGAGTTGCACATCCGCACACTACATATACTGTTACAAGCTGGAGTTTGTGGGTCTGGGACTCGGGCGTGCTGCAGTCGAGAGCTACCAACAACATCACCATCTCACCACTTCTCCCCCGACACCTCAGGCGTGTCCTGAAACCCCCCCCCTACCATTACAAAGTAGACTTCCAAGACTTGAAATATATTGAGGAGCTCCAGCCTTTGTGTGATCGAGAACTCAAAGGTGATAACGTTTCACGCAGTATGCAAGTGATTAAAGCTAAAATGCAGCCAGTCTACTGTAGAAGATGACGTCCAAAGTTCTCTGTGCTTTTTAAATGAGTTCCAGTGAGGAAACTGCTTCCATGGGGAGATTGTGACAGTATTTCTTCTTAGACTTAAATGCTTCCTGGCTCTGAATCAGGTTTGTGATTGAAAAAGATAAATCATCATTGTGAGCAGTGGAGAAGCAGAGGTTCTGGTACTGATTAACATAGGTCCACATCTTATGTTTTATAAAATGGATGCATTAACTGCTATGGTGAATCAGAGAACCCAAATTAAAGAAGAAAAAAAACATGCTGACTTTTCACATTCTTTGAGCGTTAACGTTGAGGATGAATTATGAAATGACTTATGTGGGATCCATACGTCGATTATCTCACCAGACATAATTCAGCATGATGCAATGTTGGCGTGACTCACTTACCCATCACCACAGTCAAATGTTAAAACTGATCTCTGTGCTGCTCCGTGTGACACACGCACCAAACCTCCCCCTGCTCCCTCTCCATCTGGCTGCTGGAGTGAGTTCATATTGGGAGTCTGTGGCACCAGTTGATCTGGTCACTGTCTGCAGTTGTGGGGGTTTAATTCTCCAAAAGGTTGGAGGCAACATTTATAAAGCCTCTTGCATCAGCATTTACTTGTTTAGGAGGGATATTTTAGAATTCCTGAAAAGCAAGGAAAATTATAATAAAATGTTTAAAAAAATACCAAGTGTATTGTCTTTTGTGTAAGCAGGTACTCATGTACTGTATATTCAAAACAATGAGACCTCACAAGTGTGCATGTTGTTTTTAATTATATGTAAGATTTGTTTCAAATGTCAATATTGCATCATGTGAATGTTAAAGACCCTTACATTCATTGTAACAGCAGATTTAACTTCAGTCTCCCTGTTTACTGTTACGATTGTCGATTTTCTGTGGCTGAAATAACAGCAATTCAAAAGCCAATCTTTAAATGTCGAAAAACACACAAACACTATCTACTGTCAAAAAGAATCAAAACAAACATATTGCCCTGTCATTGCAGAAGGGCTCTGAGGATGAGCTGTTGTCATATTACAGTGATGATCTGACACAATGAGCATTTAAGGCCCAATAAACATTTTGTATTTTATTTTAATTCAAAAGTGACCTTTTACTGACTGTTCACAAAGTAAATGTAAGAAATCAGGAATTAGGCAAAACGAGTAAAAAATGTACCCTCACTTTGCTCACATCAATTCAACGCTGGCTTTAGAGAAAATACTTTAACAATCAGATCTATGTACAATTGTATGAAAAAAATCTAAGCAGAACGTTTGCTTATCAAGTTTCTCATGAGGCTGCTGGTCTGGGATCTGGATTGTTTTGTGAGCAGGAAATTCATTGTACTTAATATTTTTTTATCAGGCCCCAACAATTGATAAAACCCCAAATTCCTGAAAATCATGACCAACTAGAAGGGAAATCAGAGAGAACACAGCACTTCAGAGGCAAGCGACCCATCTCGCCATGACAAAAAATAAATAAATAATTAAAATAGGTTCTGTCTTGGATGATGACCCACCCCTCCACAGAATTTCATGGAAATCAGTTCAGTAGTTTATGAATAATCCTGCTTACAAACAAACTGTGATGAAAACATATCCAGGCCCTGTTGATATCACCAGCATGTAAATGCAGCACTGTCCAATATAAAAGATCTTCAACTAAGCAGATTCAAGGAAAATTTGGAAAATAAAAGATATAAAAATCATTTAATATTTCACATCTCAGGTCATTTAACCATCTGTCATACTGGTTATATATTATGCATAAATCACTGTGCAAATTAAACTATTCAGAAGGAATGTGTGCTCACACACAGGAGTATGTAAAAAAACAAACAATGAAAGTGGGGTTGGTTTGCGTAATCTAAAAAAACAACAGTATATGACCTTAACCACACTTCAAATAACTGTAATAATATTCCAACAATGAATAACTGTAATAATCCCTGCCTTGATTTTCAACCACAGGTCATCCAGCTTGTCGCTGCTGGATGGTCTTGAAAGTGAAGAGACTTTGAAAAGCTACACAAGGCACAAAGAACTTCAGAGGAGAAAACAATAACATTTAAAAAGTCAATTTTTTAAAAATCTGATCTGAATTAAACACAACTAAAGTGATTCTTCTTCACTCTGGGTTTAATTTGCGTGGATTACCAGACAGGTCGAGTTTGACGGAGCAATGACAGATCAGATAGTTTGAGACAAGAACAAAATAAATATCTCAAAAACGTTTACATACAAGTCTTATTCTATGTAGTTTAGTAGTATGTATTATAGTACTCCTAATACTATGGCCTAAATACCAACATGAGGCTGCAGATCAGAGACTATTAGAGTCACTGACGTTGACTGTGAGCGTAAGGTCCCAGCAGGAATCTCCCCACATAAAAAACTGTGTGGAGACTTTATGGGAATCTTCAAAAAAGACAACACAGTGCATCGCTACGTATTCCCTTTGGTATCCTTGAATTCAGAAAATACAAATATTGACCAAGAGGATTAACACAAGTACTTTCTAAATATTCAAGAGCTCAAATTTAAATAAGAAACGTTTGCTGCTGTTTTTCTTAAGAGGTTTAAAATGTGCAAATCCAACCATCTGGTAATTCATGCAAGTTAAAACGAAATAAAGAAATAAATCTTTGACACAGCTCTGGTTTGGTTAAGCTATATTCAAGTAGCAGATTGTGGTTTGACAGAAAAAAATATTTTTAAACTTCCTACAAAAGCCTGAATGTTTCCAGGACACTGTTACAGCTACAGTTAGCATCAGTGATGACTAAAAGGGTTTTTAACCACCACGTAAACAACAACGGTGCTTGTCTTCAGATTTATGTGCTTCTAGCTGGCAGAGGTGAGAAATAGTTTTCTGTACGTAGCAGCTAAAGCAGGACCGAGCTGAATATAAGTCAGACGGACGTGGATGGAATGACAGTATTTCCAAAGTGGAGGATGCAGAGGTACGGTGCATCAAGAAGAGTCTGTGGTGTTGATGATATAGGTGAGTGACGTCACTGGTTGATTTTGCACCTCCATGCGGCGGGGCTCTGTTCCTGCAGCCGTCTTATTTTCTGCCCTAACAACAACCACCAAGCTAAACCAATCACGACACAAACCACCGACTCCACGTAGTAGCCGTCCAGTGACGTCACACAAACGCCGCCTTCCTTCACGCACAGCTGGAGATGGGAAGAGGGACAAGGAAGAAGAGACAGTTTATTCTTCTTAGATTAGGACATGCAGTCAGGTCCTGCTCAGACCTGGTGTTATCATCCGTACTGAGAGACTGTTCAGTTTCATCCTCTCCCCCTGCAGACTTACCCCTGCCTCCTCCGGGGAGCCGCAGCTCTGCCCGATGGCCCCCTGACACACCTTCGAGGTCAGTGGATCCACCATCCACAGAGCCACAGTGGATGGCCAGTTCCCTCCGAGGTTGGTGACTGTGTTCAGCAGGGTCATGTACGTCCCACCGATGAGCGGGTCGCTCACTTTGGCGTGGAAGGCCATGCAGGCTACGTACATACTGTACAACGCCACCTGGGGTAAAAACACAGGAAACTTTGTTTTAGATGAACACTGGGGTGAATGATTTATTGCTCCTGATAAACTGGAGCTGAAGTAACATCGCCGATAATAGGAAAAGTACAGGTCTCAATAAGAACATTGGTGTTATGTATGATTTGTAAAAACTATATCAAAATGAGGAATAAAGGAAGAACAAAAAAGAGGTAAAGTTTTAACAGAGGAATACTAAACCTGATGCACTGCGTAGCTGAGCAGCACGATGGTGTAGTAGTAAACAGGGAACCCTCCGTCTTGTTTTACACTGGACGTCCACCACACCAGCAGCGCATACTCAAGGCCTATAAGCAACCTGCAATTACAGCACACCGTTAGCTTTTAGTTGATTGAATGTGTGCATGTTCTAATTCGTGCGTCGATACACTGTTGTTTGCACCCCTCCGTGTGTGTGTGTGACAACCTGAAAGGAAAGGCCTTGTAGAAGATGTCCAGCGGTCGGGGCCCTGCTGTGTATTTACTGATGACGACTGGGAGAAGAATCTGCAGAGGCACCATAGGCACCGCCAACAGAGCCAGCTGCTCCTTGGGAACTCCAGCCTCCACCAGCTTAAGACCTGTCACCGCATCTGCTGCAGAGAAGCCGATCTGAGACACAGAGAGGTTTACTCACAGAGGATATTCACGTTAAGAAGCGAGTATGCAAAGCCAACGCTTTCCCAGTATTTTCAGGTAAGCCAAATGTTTATCAAGAATCGGTCACATAGAGCAATCTGGCAGCCAAATGCAAATGTCACGTTTGACAAAAGCGTGGTGTGATTGTGGCCGGGGACCTTTGTTGCATGTCCCCCCACTGCATACTGTCAAGTAAAGGCCAAACCACCCCCCCCACCCCCTTATTACATAATTTCAAAAACGGTCACGTACTTTAGCGGTGAGAAGCAGGGCACAAAATGTGAAGACGGTGGGCATCTTGATAATGTTGAACAGCAACTTGTAGGTTTCCAAAACTCCCTTTGTCTCCTCCTGTTGAACTCTTCTCTTTCCTTTGCCGTGCGCATTCTCCCTTTTAAAAATGGCCACCAGCGTTGTGGACACCAGGAACATCACTCCCCAAAAAAACAAGAAGTCTGCAGTGGAGCAATAGAAAGCATCAACCATTATTAAACTGATAGTGCTATTTAATTTAGTCATCTTGGAAACTGTAAGAAACATTATTGTTTGTATTTTTAGGGATAGAAAATACCTGACAAGGTAACAATGCCTGAGTCCTTTGGCTCCGCTCTGAGGTACTTGTTGCAGAAATTAGGAGACTCCAGAGCCAGAAAGAGCACGTTCCCCAGGAAGTATCCAGCCGTCTGACCTACAGAGTTGCATGTAGATGCGTAACCCACATTTTCTCTGGACAACATGGTCAGGGCCCAGCCATCCACAGCTATATCCTTGGAGACAGAAAAGGCAGAAGAATGAAGGAAAGAAACTATTTACTAGGGCTCAGCGATATGACTTCTAATCAATATCAAGATTATTTCAAACGTTTACCTCAATAACGATAAATGGTTATTTTACTTTTTTTGCAGTACGTGTCTCATAAACTCTATGGCGGAGTAGTACTTTACATCTCCTTATAACTTCTGATTAGTGTTAGTGTTTATTGTTAACATGTTAAGTGAGGATATGCTGCACAGTACAAGGTATCCGTGCTGCCGAAGCAAAATGATCGTGGCAGAAACACGACAGTTCATGAATGCAAGCATTGGGGAAACTATTACAGATTTAACCATCATGAGCAAGATTAAAGGTTCAGTGTGTAGGATATAGCTGAAAGGGATCCATTTGCAGAAATTGAATTTGAAATAATCGTAGTGATGTTCTGATCTGAATTGTACTAATTGCTGTTTTCTTTACCAAAGAATGGAGCAGTTTATTTACATCAGGAGCGGGTCCATTCTACAGAGACCACCATGTTTTTTTACAGTAGCTCAGACTGGACAAACTAAACAGTGTTTGAGTTTTTATGACAACTGAAAGGTTCTCCTTTATGTTTGGAAGGGGAGGGTGACCAAAATGTCACCAAATTCTACACACTGAACCTTTAAGTCAGCTAGAGGTTATAAATTATATTTTCAGTTGACTGCCGAGTCCTACTACCTACAGCATTTATCTTTCTGCATGTGTGTCTGTGTTTATGATGGTCTACCTGTGTGGCTGCCAGGAAGGCAAGCATGAAGAACACTGCAGTGAGTATCAACACATTTGGTCCTTCCTCGCTCTGCAGCAGTGCATCGACAGTTGCAGACAGGTAGAGCATGAAGAGGCCCAGAAGGTACTGTGTGGGCACCAGCCATGACTTTCTGTAGAGACAGAGGACAGAGATGGGAGCAGATGTGGAAATGATCAGGGAAAAGATGCACTGTTTAAAACACCAGTACAAACATGTAAACAGTATATCTGTGAAGATTCTCAGTCAGTCCGGTCCTGGTACCTTCTGGGGTTTTGTGTGTGTGTACATATGAAAATTTCTGGGGATAAACATTTGTCTTTCTTACCTTCTGCCAAACCTGCTGAAGTAAAGAGCATCCACCAGTGGAGCCCAGAGCAGTTTGAGACTAAACGGCCAGAAGACGAAGCTGAAAAAGGCCTGGTCTTTGTAGCTGACATTTTTGCTCTGCAAGATCAGTGGGATGCTGCCGGCCAGTCCCAGAGGAATCCCTTGCAGTACGTACAGAAACAGAAGAAGCGACACGTTGCCCAATTCGTTACGGATCCCCGGCCGGGTTGCGGGCCTCCTGTTCTCTGAATCCGACCCTCTGATAAGACCCTCCGCCTTGTCTTCTACGTCCGGCTCAGAGTCACTCATCTCTCCTTTGTTGACGTCCCCCATGTTTACATTTGAGAGGGCGGAACCTGCTAGCTTCCTCTGCCGCCCGTTCTTGTGTGCGATCACATCTGAAGGCTCCATGTTGGAGCAGTGGACATCAAACCAGCTGTGTCCTCAGCAAGTCTAAAAGATACATGAGAGAGAATTATTGAAATAACTTAACAGATTGTTAACACTCAGAGTTTCAAATATATAACTGCAAGATCATTTCGAGTAAATTGAATTGTGTATAACTATAATATCAATAATCAAAAGATATGTTTCTCCACTTATCCTGTTGACAAGATGGAGGAGATATTATAGATGAACACATGTGTCACCTGTCAGTTATTAACTATCACCTTCAAACGACCAGCACGGACGTTTTTTCACAATAATGGGCAAATATAAATAAATATGAATAAACCTAAATACACTCCATGGAAATATATCAAATTACATAACATCACATGAGGGGAACTATACGTAGCAGAACAACAGAGGGTGAAAATGAAAATGACACCAGCAGAGAATGAATCATACCTGGATGTGATGGCAGCATGTCACAGGAACAAACACGACAACAAAGAAGCAGCTCAGCTGGAAGCGACACGTAATCTACGATGATTCACAGTCACAGCAGTTTAACACGGATAACAACCGGGGAGGGTTCTACCGTGACTCTCGAGCATCTGTCTGGCGGCGACACGGCAGGAGTAAGGAAGTGCTGCCTGTCCGACCCTCAAATGTGTCCGGCACCTACAGCTGACGTGTCAAAACACGAGGGAGATGTGTTCCGCTTGACCCTTCTCTCTCTCTCTCTGTCT